CCCAAAACGTGTCCTAAAGTGCCCAGCCCCAAATGTGTCCCTGAATCGGCCCTAAAAGTGTCCCTAAACTGGTCCTTAAATGTGTCCTTAAACTGACCCCAAACTGACCCTGAATGTGCCCCAAACCTGGCCCCAAACCTGCCCTAAATGTGGCCCTGAACCAGCCCCAAATCAGACCCAAACCTGCCCTAAATGTGGCCCTGAACCTGCCCCAAACCTGGCCCTGAACTGGCCCCAAACCTGCCCCAAATCTGCCCTAAATGTGGCTCCAAACCTGCCCTAAATGTGGCCCTGAACCCGCCCCAAACCAGACCCCAAACCTGCCCTAAATGTGTCCCCAAACTCCACCCCAAACCTGCCCTAAATGTGGTTCTGAACCTGCCCTAAATGTGGCCCCAAACCTGGCCCTGAACCCGCCCCAAACCAGATCCAAACCAGACCCAAACCTGCCCTAAATGTGGCCCCAAACCTGGCCCCAAACCTGCCCTAAATGTGGCCCCAAACCTGCCCTAAACGTGGCCCTGAACCCGCCCCAAACCAGACCCCAAACCTGTCCCCAAAGCTGCCCTAAATGCGTCTCTGAACCCGCCCCAAACCTGGCCCAAAACCTGTCCCCAAACCGGACCCAAACCTGGCCCCAAACCTGTCCCCAAACTCCACCCCAAACCTGCCCTAAATGTGGCTCTGAACCAGCTCCAAACCCGCCCTAAACCTGTCCCCAAACTGGACCCAAACCTGGCCCTAAATGTGGCCCTGAACCCGCCCCAAACCTGGCCCCAAAGCTGCCCCAAACCTGGCCCTGAACCCACCCCAAATCTGGCCCCAAACTCCACCCCAAACCTGCCCTAAATGTAGCTCTGAACCCACCCCAAACCAGACCCCAAACTCCACCCCAAACCTGCCCTAAATGTGGCCCCAAACCTGGCCCCAAACTTGGCCCCAAACCAGACCCCAAACCTGCCCTAAATGTGGCCCCAAACCTGCCCTAAATGTGGCTCTGAACCAGCCCCAAACCTGACCCCAAACCTGCCCCAAACCACACCCAAACCTGTTCCTAAATGTGGCCCTGAACCCGCCCCAAACCTGGCCCCAAAGCTGCCCCAAACCTGGCCCTGAACCCACTCCAAACGTGGCCCCAAACCAGACCAAACCTGTTCCTAAAAGCATCCCTGCCCCTAAACCTGCCCTAAGCCCTCCCCAAACCCATCCCAAATCCGCCCCAAACCCACCCCAAGCTGTCCCTGTCCCCCAAACCCACCCCAAACCCACCCCAAACCCAGCCCCAAACCGCCCCAAACCTGCCCCAAGCCCTCCCCAAAGCATGCTCCCAAACTGTCCCTGCCCCAAACCCTCCCCAAAGTTGCTCTCAAACTGTCCCTGCCCCCAAAGCTGCCCCAAACCCACCCCAAACCCTCCCCAAACCCGCCCCAAACCCACCCCAAACCCACCCCAGACCCACCCCAAACCCTCCCCAAACCACCCCAAACCCACCCCAGACCCACCCCAAGCCCTCCCCAAGCCCACCCCAAACCCACCCCAGACCCACCCCAAGCCCTCCCCAAACTGTCCCTGCCCCAAACCCACCCCAAACCCACCCTAAACCCGCCCCAAAGCTGCCCTAAACAGTCCCTGTCCCCAAGCCCACCCCATACCCACCCCAACCCCTCCCCAACCCCTCCCCCTCCCTGCCCGGGAAGCTACTTGATTTTGGGGTGTGGGGAGGGAGAGGCCCGCGTGGAGGTTCCGGATCCTTCCGTTCCCCAGCGCTTTTGGGGGGGTTTTGGGGGTTTTTGGGGGGGTTTGGGGTCCCTGAGCCCCCCAAATCCCACCCTGGGGGGGTCCAACCCCACCCATCGGGACAGAGCCGGAATTTTTGCCGTTCCAGGATTTGCCAGGATGGGACCCAAGGGAGTCTATGAACAGGTGAGGGGGGGGGGACCCCAAAAAAAAACCCCAAATGGGGGGCCCTGAGACCCCAAACCCCCAAAATGGGGGACCCTGAGACCCCAAACCCCCAAAATGGGGGGCCCTGAGACCCCAAACCCCCGAATTCGGGGTCTCAGAACCCCCAAAAACCCCAAAACTCCTGAATTTGGGGTCACAGAGACCCCAACCCCCCAAACTGGGGGGTCCCAGAGACCCAAACCCCCAACTTTTGGGGTCCCAGACACCCCAAACCCCCAAATTTGGGGTCTCAGAATCCCCAAAACCCCCAAATTTGGGGTCTCAGAATTCCAAAACCCCCCAAATTTGGGGTCCCAGAGACCCCAAACCCCCTAAATTTGGGGTCTCAAAACCCCCCAAAACCCCCAATTTGGGGTCCCAGAGACCCCAAACCCCCCGATTTGGGATCTCAGAACCCCCAAAACCCCCCAAATTTGGGGTCCTGGAGACCCCAAACCCCCCAATTTGGGATCTCAGAACCCCCCAAAACTCCCCAAATTTGGGGTTCCAGAGACCCCAAACCCCCAAATTTGGGATCTCAGAACCCCCAGACCCCCTAAATTTGGGGTCTCTGAACCCCCCAAAACCCCCAAACTTGGGGTCCCAGAGACCCAACCCCCCAAATTTGGGGTCCCAGAGATCCAAAACCCCCCAAATTTGGGGTCCCGGAGACCCCAAAATCCCAAACTGGGAAGGGGGGGGAGGGGGGGGGTCCCAGAACCTCAACCCCAATCTGGGGGTCCAATCCCCAAATTTGGGGCTCCAATCCCCAAATTTGGGGGTCCCCCTCAATTCTTCCCCCCAGCTGGACCCCCTGGAGGAGCCTCGGCCGGAGCCCCCAAGGTAATTAATGAAGAAAATTAATCACATTAATTAAAACCCCCTCCCCCAATTTTTGGCACTTTTGGGGGTGTTTTGAGTGAGGGGTGATTAATTGAGTTAGTGACCCCCTCCCAGCGCCCCCCTCGGGGCCTTCCTCCTCCCCCCTCCTCCTCCTCCTCGTCCTCGTCCTCGTCGTCACCTTCGGCCTCTCCCGACCCCAAGGACCCCAGGGACCCCAGGGACCCCAAACCCTGTGAGGACCCCTGCAGGTAAGGGGGGAGGAAACAACCCTGGAGACCCCCTGGGACCCCTCAGGGCCACCTGGGACCACCAGAGACCCTGGGAGACCCCCTGGACCCCTCAGGACCACCAGAGACCCCTCGGGGCCACCTGGGACCCAAAGACCTCAGAGACCCCCAAGGACCCAAAAGACCCCCCCGGGGACCCCAAACCCTGTGAGGACCCCTGCAGGTAAGGGGGGGGGGGAACAACCCCTGGAGACCCCCCTGGGACCCCCTGGGACCCCCTGGGACCCCTCGGGACCACCAGAGACCCCTCAGGGCCACCTGGGACCCCCTGGGACCACCAGAGACCCCAGAGACCCCCAAGGACCCAAAGACCCCGGGGACCCCAAACCCTGTGAGGACCCTGCAGGTAAGGGGAGGAGGGAACAACCCCTGGAGACCCCCCTGGGACCCCCTCAGGGCCACCTGGGACCCCAAAGACCCCAGAGACTCAGAGAGCCCCCAAGGACCCAAAGACCCCCGGGGACCCCAAACCCTGTGAGGACCCCTGCAGGTAGGGGGGAGGGAGGCGACCCTGGAGACCCCCTGGGACCCCTCAGGGCCACCTGGGACCCCCTGGGACCCTCTGGGATCGCCAGGGACCCCCAAGGACCCAAAAGACCCCCAAGGACCCCTGGGACCACCAGGGAACAGAGGCCCCAGGGACCCCAGAAATCCTGGGACCCCCAGTGACACCCCCAGGACCACCAGGGACCCCCAGAGACCCCCAGGGACCCTCTGGGACCCCCTGGGACCCTCCAGGACCACCAGAGACCCCTGGGACCCCCTGGGACCCCTCAGGGCCACCTGGGACCCCAAAGACCCTCAGAGACCCCCAAGGACCCAAAAGACCCCAGAGACCCCAAAGACCCCCAAAGACCCCCAAACACCCCCAAAAGACCCCAAAGACCCCTGAGCCCCCAGGATCGTGCTGGTGGAGTCGACCCCAGGGGATGTCCCTGGGCGTGGGTCCTGTGGAGACACCTGGAGACCCCAAAGACCCCCAAAGACCCCCAGGGACCCCAAAGACCCCAGGGACCTCCAGGGACCCCCAAAGACCCCAAAGACCCCAAAGACCCCCAAAGACCCCAAAGACCCCGTGAGCCCCCAGGATCGTTCTGGTGGAGTCGAGCCCCCTGGGGATGCCCCGGTGTGGGTCCTGTGGAGACCCCAAAGACCCCAAAGACCCCAAAGACCCCCAAAGACCCTCAGGGACCCCAAAGACCCCCAAAGACCCCAGGGACCCCCAGGATCGTTCTGGTGGAGTTGACCCCCTGGTTGTGGGTTCTGTGGGGACACCTGGAGACCCCAAAGACCCCAGGGACCCCAGGGACCCCAAAGACCCCAGGGACCCCAGGGACCCCCAAAGACCCCAGGGACCCCCAGGGACCCCAAAGACCCCCAAAGACCCCCAGAGACCCCAGGGACCCCCAGGATCGTGCTGGTGGAGTCGACCCCCCTGGGGATGCCCCCGAGTGTGGGTCCTGTGGAGACCCCAAAGACCCCCAGGGACCCCCAGGGACCCCCAAAGACCCCCAGGGACCCACAGAGACCCCCCAAAGACCCCCAGGGACCCCAAAGACCCCCAGGGACCCCCAAAGAGCCCCAGAGACCCCCAAAGACCCCCAGAGCCCCCCCAGGATCGTTCTGGTGGAGTCGACCCCCCTGGGGATGCCCCAGGTGTGGGTCCTGTGGAGACCCCAAAGACCCTAAAGACCCCCAGGGACCCCCAAAGACCCCAAACACCCCCCCAAAGACCCTCAAAGACCCCCAAAGACCCCCTGAGGCCCCCAGGATCGTGCTGGTGGAGTCGACCCCCTGGGGATGCCCCGGGTGTGGGTCCTGTGGGGACACCTGGAGACCCCAAAGACCCCAGGGACCCCAGAGACCCCAAAGACACCCCAAAGACCCCCAAAGACCCCCAGGGACCCCAGGGGACCCCCAAAGACTCCTGAGCCCCCCAGGATCGTTCTGGTGGAGTTGACCCCCTGGTTGTGGGTTCTGTGGGGACACCTGGAGACCCCAAAGACCCCCAGGGACCCCAAAGACCCCCAAAGACCCCCAAAGACCCCCAAAGACCCCCAAAGACCCCCTGAGCCCCCAGGATCGTTCTGGTGGAGTTGACCCCCTGGGGATGTCCTTGGGCAATGAGTCCTGTGGGGACACCTGGAGACCCCAGAGACCCCAGGGACCCCAAAGACCCCAAACACCCCCAAAAGACCCCCAAAGACCCCCAGGGACCCCCAGGATCGTGCTGGTGGAGTCGACCCCCTGGGGATGCCCCGGTGTGGGTCCTGTGGAGACCTCAAAGACCCCCAAAGACCCCTGGGACCCCAAAGACCCCCAAAGACACCCCAAAGACCCCAGGGACCCCAAAGACCCCCAAAGACCCCCTGGGGTTGCCCCGGGTGTGGGTCCTGTGGAGACCCCAAAGACCCCAGGGACCCTCAGGGACCCCCAAAGACCCCAAAGACCCCAAAGACCCCCAAAGACCCCCAAAGACCCCCAAAGACCCCCAGGGACCCCCAACACCCCCAAAGACCCCCAAAGACCCCCAGAGCCCCCAGGATCGTGCTGGTGGAGTCGACCCCCTGGGGATGTCCCGGTGTGGGTCCTGTGGAGACCCCAAAGACCCCAGGGACCCTCAGGGACCCCAAAGACCCCAGGGACCCCAGGGACCCCCAAAGACCCCAGGGACCCCAGAGAACCCAGGGACCCCAAAGACCCCCAAAGACCCCCAAAGACCCCCTGAGCCCCCCAGGATCGTGCTGGTGGAGTCGACCCCCTGGGGATGCCCCGGGTGTGGGTCCTGTGGGGACACCTGGAGACCCCAAAGACCCCCAGGGACCCCCAGAGACCCCAAAGACACCCCAAAGACCCCCAAAGACCCCAGGGACCCCCAGGGACCCCCAAAGACTCCTGAGCCCCCAGGATCGTTCTGGTGGAGTTGACCCCCTGGTTGTGGGTTCTGTGGGGACACCTGGAGACCCCAAAGACCCCCAGGGACCCCAAAGACCCCCAAAGACCCCCAAAGACCCCAAAGACCCCAAAGACCCCCTGAGCCCCCAGGATCGTTCTGGTGGAGTTGACCCCCCTGGGGATGTCCTTGGGCAATGAGTCCTGTGGGGACACCTGGAGACCCCCAGAGACCCCCAGGGACCCCCCAAAGACCCCAAACACCCCCAAAAGACCCCCAAAGACCCCCAGGGACCCCCAGGATCGTGCTGGGTGGAGTCGACCCCCTGGGGATGCCCCGGGTGTGGGTCCTGTGGAGACCTCAAAGACCCCCAAAGACCCCTGGGACCCCAAAGACCCCCAAAGACACCCCAAAGACCCCAGGGACCCCAAAGACCCCCAAAGACCCCCTGGGGTTGCCCCCGGAGTGTGGGTCCTGTGGAGACCCCAAAGACCCCAGGGACCCTCAGGGACCCCCAAAGACCCCAAAGACCCCAAAAGACCCCCAAAGACCCCCAAAGACCCCCAAAGACCCCAGGGACTCCCAACACCCCCAAAGACCCCCAAAGACCCCCAGAGGCCCCCAGGATCGTTGCTGGTGGAGTCGACCCCCTGGGGATGTCCCGGGTGTGGGTCCTGTGGAGACCCAAAGACCCCAGGGACCCTCAGGGACCCCAAAGACCCCAGGGACCCCAGGGACCCCAAAGACCCCAGGGACCCCAGAGAGACCCAGGACCCCAAAGACCCCCAAAGACCCCCAAAGACCCCCTGAGCCCCCAGGATCGTTCTGGTGGAGTTGACCCCCTGGGGATGTCCTGGGCCAATGAGTCCTGTGGGGACACCTGGAGACCCCAGAGACCCCAGGGACCCCCAAAGACCCCAAACACCCCCAAAGACCCCACAAGACCCCAGGGACCCCCAGGATCGTGCTGGTGGAGTCGGCCCCCTGGGGATGCCCCCGGGTTGGGCCTCGAACCTCGACCCGACCTCTCGGACCTCAGAGCGCCAGACACCGAGCCGGGGACCCCGACCCCGAAGACCCTCTGCTGCCCTGGTCCTAGCCAGACCCCAGGGACCCTCAGGCCACCCAAAGACCTCTGCTGCCCTAGTAGACCCCAGGACCCCAGGACCCCATGGTCCCATTTTGAGCTCATTTTTGGTCAGTTTCGTGCTGTGGTCGACTCCGGGGATGTCCGGTTTGGTCCTGTTGGCTAGCCCATGGACCTCGGCCAGCCAGGACACCCGACCCCAGGCCCAGGCTGAGCCCCAATAGACCCCAGGACCCCCGCTGAGCCCCCAGGTCTTGCTGGTGGATCACCCCAGGGATGCCCCGGCCCGAACCTCGGCGTTCTGGCGTGGTCGTTGACTGGCGTGGGTCGTCGCGGAGCCTCGAGGTGGTCTCGTTTTTGGACCGTCTCGACCAATGAGGACACGCCCACCCACGAGCCCTCAGCCACCCTGGTGAGACCCCCAGGACCCCCCCCACCCCCCTCTTTTGGTGCTTTCTGGTCGTTTTTTACCGTTTTTGGTCATTTTTTACCATTTTTGGGCGTTTTTGGTCGTTCCGAGCGGTTTGGTCCATTTTTGACCATTTTTGACCAACGAGGACACGCCCACCCACGAGCCCTCTGCTGCCCTGGTGAGACCCCCAGGACCCCCCCTGTGCCCCCTCTTAGCTGGTTTTTACCATTTTTGGTTGTTTTTGATCGTTTTTGACCGTTCCGAGCGGTTTTGTCCATTTTTGATCATTCCAAGTGGTTTTGTCCATTTTTCTCCATTTTTGACTATTTTGACCATTTATAGACCATTTTTTGACCATTTTTGTGCCATTTTTGGGCCGTTTTGGGGCTGTTTTGGACCATTTCCCCCTTTCCCCTTCACTTTTTGCTCTTTCCCTCCCATTTCCTGCCCGTTTGGAGCCCCCTGCCCCATTTCCAGCCCCCTGCCCCAATTTGAGCCCCCCTTGCCCCATTTCCAGCCCCCTACCCCATTTCCAGCCCCCCACCCCATTTCCAACCCCCTGCCCCATTTCCAACCCCTGCCCCATTTCCAGCCCCTCCTGCCTTTTTGACCCCCCGCCCCAATTTGACCCCTGCCCCAATTTGACCCCCTGCCCCATTTTGTGCCCCCAGGGCGAGCAGATTCTCTCGGAGCTGCTGGAGCTGCCCGGCGCGGGGTCTCGGTGCGTGTGGCCGTCAATGCCCCTCAAAATCCACCCCCATGGGGACCTCCAGGCCCTGGAGAGGAGTGGTGGGTGCTGGGGGTCTGGGAGTCAACTGGGGGTCAGGGGGTCAGGATGGGTCAGGGGTCTCGGTGCGTGTGGCTGTCAATGCCCCTCAAAATCCACCCCGCATGGGCGACCTCCAGGCCCTGGAGAGGAGTGGTGGGTGCTGGGGGGGGATCTGGGGGCTCAGAGGGTCTGGGGGTTTTGGGGGGCTCAGGGGTCAGGATGGGTCAGGGTCTCGGTGCGTGTGGTTGTCAATGCCCCTCAAAATCCACCCCCATGGGCGACCTCCAGGCCCTGGAGAGGAGTGGTGGGTGCTGGGGGGTCTGGGGGGTTGGGGGTCTGGGGGTCAGGGGTCAATGGGGGTCAGGGGGTCAGGATGGGTCAGGGTCTCGGTGCGTGTGGCCGTCAATGCCCCTCAAAATCCACCCCCATGGGGACCTCCAGGCCCTGGAGAGGAGTGGTGGGTGCTGGGGGGGTCCATGGGGGTTCTGGGGGGTCAATGGGGGTCTGGGGGTCAATGGGAGCCTCAGGGGGATCAGAGGTCAGGATGGGTCAGGGTCTCGGTGCGTGTGGCCGTCAATGCCCCTCAAAATCCACCCCATGGGGACCTCCAGGCCCTGGAGAGGAGTGGTGGGTGCTGGGGGTCCATGGGAGGTCTGGGGGGTCAGGGGGTCAATGGGGGTCAGGGGTCAATGGGGGGGCTCAGGGGTCAGGATGGGTCAGGGTCTCGGTGCGTGTGGCCGTCAATGCCCCCTCAAAATCCACCCCATGGGCGACCTCCAGGCCCTGGAGAGGAGTGGTGGGTGCTGGGGGTCAATGGGGGTCTGGGGGGTCAATGGGGGGTCAGGGGTCAATAGGGAGGTCAGGGGGTCAGGGGTCAGAATGGGTCAGGGGTCTCGGTGCGTGTGGCCGTCAATGCCCCCTCAAAATCCACCCCCTGGGGACCTCCAGGCCCTGGAGAGGAGTGGTGGGTGCTGGGGGTCTGGGGGGTTTGGGGGTCTGGGGGTCAATGGGGGTCAGGGGGTCAATGGGGGTCAGGGGGTCAGGATGGGTCAGGGGTCTCGGTGCGTGTGGCCGTCAATGCCCCTCAAAATCCACCCCATGGGCGACCTCCAGGCCCTGGAGAGGAGTGGTGGGTGCTGGGGGCTCAGGGGGTCTGGGGGGTCAGGGGTCAATGGGGGGTCAGGGGGTCAGGGGGTCAGGGGGTCAATGGGGGGTCAGGGGGTCAGGATGGGTCAGGGGTCTCTGGTAGCGTGTGGCCGTCAATGCCCCCTCAAAATCCACCCCATGGGCGACCTCCAGGCCCTGGAGAGGAGTGGTGGGTGCTGGGGGTTTTGGGGGGTCTGGGGGGTCTGGAGGGTTTGGGGGAGTCAGGGGTCAATGGGGGAGTCAGGGGGTCAGGATGGGTCAGGGGTCTCGGTGCGTGTGGCCGTCAATGCCCCTCAAAATCCACCCCATGGGCGACTCCAGGCCCTGCAGAGCAGTGGTGGGTGCTGGGGGGTCCATGGGGGTCTGGGGAGGTTTGGGGCTCAGGAGGGCTCAGGGGCTCAGGGGTCAGGATGGGTCGGGGGTCTCGGTGCGTGTGGCCGTCAATGCCCCTCAAAATCCACCCCATGGGCGACCTCCAGGCCCTGGAGAGGAGTGGTGGGTGCTGGGGGTCCATGGGGGGTCTGGGGGGCTCAGGGGTCAGGGGGCTCTGGGGTGGTCTGGGGGTCAGGATGGGTCAGGGGTCTCAGTGCGTGTGGCCGTCAATGCCCCTCAAAATCCACCCCATGGGCGACCTCCAGACCCTGGAGAGGAGTGGTGGGTGCTGGGGGAGTCAATTGGGGGTCTGGGGGTGTTTGGGGGGCTCAGGGGGTCTGGGGGTCAATGGGAGGTCAGGGGTCAATGGGGGTTCTGGAGGCTCAGGAGGGGTCAGGGGTCAATGGGAGGGTCTGGGGGTCCATGGGGGGTCAGGGGGTCAATGGGGGGTCTGGGAGGCTCAGGGGGTTCAGGGGGTCAATGGGGGTCTGAGGGGGTCAATGGGGGTCAGGGGGTCAATGGGGGTCGGGGGTCAATGGGGGGTTATGGGGGGTTAGGGGGGTCTGGGGGCTCAGGAGGGGTCAGGGGGTCAATGGGGGTCTGGGGGCTCGGGGGACTCAGGGGGTCTGGGGGGTTATGGGGGTCTGGGGGTTTATGGGGGTATGGGGGCTTATGGGAGGTCAGGGGGTCAATGGGGGATCAGGGTCAATGGGGGGTTATGGGGGTTATGGGGGTCTGGGAGTCAGGGGGTCAGGGGTCAGTGGGGGGTTATGGGGGTCTGGGGCCTCAGGGTGGGTTATGGGGGTATGGGGGTCTGGGGGCTCAAGGGAGGTCAGGGGAGGTTATGGGGGTCTGGGGGAATCGAGGGGGTCAGGGGGTTATGGGGGTCTGGGGGGTTAGTGGGGGTCTGGGGGTCGAGGGGGTCAGGGGGTTATGGGGGTCTGGGGGTTATGGGGGTCTGGGGGTCGAGGGGGTCAGGGAGGTTATGGGGGCTCAGGGGGTTATGGGGGTCTGAGGGTCCTGGGGTCTCACCGGGGTCTCGGCAGGGGCCTCGGTGCGCGCCGTGGACCTGGCGAACCTCACGGGGGTCAGGGTGGGACCCCGTGTGGGGGTCTGGGGGCTCAGGGGGATCAGGAGGGGTCTGGGGGCTCAGGGGGGATCAGGAGGGGTCTGGGGGCTCAGGGGTCCGGGGGTCTCACCGGGGTCTCGGCAGGGGCCTCGGTGCGCGCCGTGGACCTGGAGAACCTGACCGGGGGTCAGGGTGGGACCCTCGTTTAGGGGGCTCTGGGGACTCAGGGGTTATGGGGTCTGGGGGCTCAGGGGGTCAGGGGGGTTATGAGGGGTCTGGGGGTCTCACGGGGGTCCCTGCAGGGGCCTCGGTGCGCGCCGTGGACCTGGAGAACCTGACGGGGGGGGTCCTGCACACGAAGCTCTGGGTCGTGGACCGGAGACACCTCTACCTGGGCAGCGCCAACATGGACTGGAGGGCGCTCACACAGGTGGGGGGACCCCAAAATCAACCAGGGGACCCCAAAACTGACCCTACAGAGTGACCCCAACCCTACAGAGTGACCCCAAACCCAACAGGGCTGACCCTTCTACCTGGGCAGCGCCAACATGGACTGGAGGGCACTCACACAGGTGGGGGGACCCCAAATCCAGCCTGGGGACCCCAAAACCGACCCTAGAGTGACCCTAAAATCAACAGGGTGACCCCAAACCCTACAGAGTGACCCCAACCCTACAGAGTGACCCCAAACCCAACGGGCTGACCCCTCTACCTGGGCAGCGCCAACATGGACTGGAGGGCACTCACACAGGTGGGGGGACCCCAAATCCAGCCTGGGGACCCCAAAACCAACCTGGGGACCCCAAATCCAACAGGGAGACCCAAACCCAACCCTACAGAGTGACCCCAAACCCAACGGGCTGACCCCTCTACCTGGGCAGCGCCAACATGGACTGGAGGGCGCTCACACAGGTGGGGGGACCCCAAAACCAACCAGGGGACCCCAAAACTGACCCTACAGAGTGACCCCAAACCCTACAGAGTGACCCCAAACCCAACAGGCTGACCCCTCTACCTGGGCAGCGCCAACATGGACTGGAGGGCACTCACACAGGTGGGGGGACCCCAAAATCAACCAGGGGACCCCAAAACCAGCCTGGGGACCCCAAATCCTACAGGGAGACCCAAACCCAACCCTACAGAGTGACCCCAACCCTACAGAGTGACCCCAAACCCAAGGGGCTGACCCCTCTACCTGGGCAGCGCCAACATGGACTGGAGGGCGCTCACACAGGTGGGGAGACCCCAAAACCAGCCTGGGGACCCCAAAATCAACCAGGGGACCCCAAAACTGACCCTACAGAGTGACCTCAAACCCTACAGAGTGACCCCTCTACCTGGGCAGCGCCAACATGGACTGGAGGGCGCTCACACAGGTGGGGGGACCCCAAAATCAACCAGGGGACCCCAAAAACAGCCAGGGGACCCCAAAACCAGCCTGGGGACCCCAAATCCTACAGGGAGACCCAAACCCAACCCTACAGAGTGACCCCAAACCCAAGGGGCTGACCCCTCTACCTGGGCAGCGCCAACATGGACTGGAGGGCGCTCACACAGGTGGGGGGACCCCAAAACCAGCCTGGGGACCCCAAAATCAACCAGGGGACCCCAAAACTGACCCTACAGAGTAACCCCAACCCTACAGAGTGACCCCAAACCCTACAGAGTGACCCCAACCCTACAGAGTGACCCCAAACCCAACAGGGCTGACCCCTCTACCTGGGCAGCGCCAACATGGACTGGAGGGCGCTCACACAGGTGGGGGGACCCCAAAATCAACCAGGGGACCCCAAATCCAGCCTGGGGACCCCAAATCCAACAGGGAGACCCAAACCCAACCCTACAGAGTGACCCCAAACCCAAGGGGCTGACCCCTCTACCTGGGCAGCGCCAACATGGACTGGAGGGCACTCACACAGGTGGGGGGACCCCAAATCCAGCCTGGGGACCCCAAAACTGACCCTACAGAGTGACCCCAAACCCTACAGAGTGACCCCAAACCCTACAGAGTGACCCCAACCCTACAGAGTGACCCCAAACCCAACGGGCTGACCCCTCTACCTGGGCAGCGCCAACATGGACTGGAGGGCACTCACACAGGTGGGGGGACCCCAAAATCAACCTGGGGACCCCAAAACGAGCCAGGGGACCCCAAAACCAGCCTGGGGACCCCAAAACGAGCCAGGGGACCCCAAATCCAGCCTGGGGACCCCAAAACCAACCAGGGGACCCCAAAACCAGCCTGGGACCCCAAATCCGACCCTACAGAGTGACCCCAAACCCAACGGGGATGACCCCAAACCCAACGGGGATGACCCCAAACCCATTGGGGATGACCCCAAACCCAACGGGGATGACCCCAAACCCAACAGAGATGACCCCAAACCCATCGGGATGACCCCAACGGGGATGACCCCAAACCCAACAGGGATGACCCCAAACCCATTGGGATGACCCCAAACCCAACAGAGTGACCCCAAACCCAACAGAGATGACCCCAAACCCAACGGGGATGACCCCAAACCCATCGAGATGACCCCAAACCCAACGGGGATGACCCCAAACCCATCGGGGATGACCCCAAACCCATCGGGGATGACCCCAAACCCAACAGGGATGACCCCAAACCCATTGGGATGACCCCAAACCCAACGGGGATGACCCCAAACCCAACAGGAATGACCCCAAACCCATCGGGATGACCCCAAACCCAACGGGGATGACCCCAAACCCAACGGGGATGACCCCAAACCCATTGGGGATGACCCCAAACCCAATGGGGCTGACCCCAAACCCAATGGAATGACCCCAAACCCAACGGGGATGACCCCAAACCCATTGGAATGACCCCAAACCCATGGGGATGACCCCAAACCCATCGGGATGACCCCAAACCCATTGGGATGACCCCAAACCCAACGGGGATGACCCCAAACCCATCGAGATGACCCCAAACCCATTGGGATGACCCCAAACCCAACAGGGATGACCCCAAACCCATTGGAATGACCCCAAACCCAACAGAGATGACCCCAAACCAAACGGGGATGACCCCAAACCCAACGGGGATGACCCCAAACCCAACAGGGCTGACCCCAAACCCAACGGGGATGACCCCAAACCTAACGGAGATGACCCCAAACCCATTGAGATGACCCCAAACCCAACTGGGATGACCCCAAACAGGTTAAGGAGCTCGGCGTCGTCATCTACAACTGCAGCTGCCTGGCCCAGGACGTGGCCAAGATCTTCGAGGCCTACTGGGCCCTGGGCGTGCCGGGGGCCACCATCCCGTCCCCGTGGCCCGAGAGCTTCTCCACCTCCTTCAACCGGGAGACGCCGCTGGCGCTGACGCTCAACGGCTCCGACGCCAGCGTTTACTTCTCGGTACGGGGCACGGGGGGCATGGGGGCACGGGGGGTATGGGGGCACGGGGGCATGGGGGGCATGGGGGCACAGGGGGCATGGAGGGTTGTGGAGGGTCTGGGTGGTCATGGTGGGTCCTGTTGGGTCATGGAGGGTCACAGTAGGTCCTGTTGGGTGCCAGTGAGTCGTGTTGGGTCCCGTTGGGTCATGGTGGGTCCTGTTGGGTCCCATTTGGTCTTGTTGACTCCTCTAGGGTCACTTTGGGTCCCATTGGGTCCCAATGGGTCATGTTGACTCCTCTAGGGTCACTTTGGGTCCCGTTGGGTCACGGTGGGCCCTGTTGGGTCCCAATGGGTCATGTTGAGTCATGGTGGATCCTGATGGGTTATTTTGGGTCCCGTTGGGTCCTGTTGGGTCCCATTGGGTCATGTTGAGTCGTGTTGAGTCATGGTGGTTCCTGATGGGTTATTTTGGGTCCCATTGGGTCCCATTGGATCACTTTGGGTCCCGGTCAGTCCTGTTGGGTCCTGTTGGATCCCGTTGTGTCCCACTGTGTCACTTTGGGTCCCATTGTGTCACTTTGGGTCCCATTGGGTCCCATTGGGTCCCATTGTCTCCCATTGGGTCCCACTGTGTCCTGTTGGGTCCCATTGAGTCCCACTGTGTCACTTTGGGTCCCGTTGTGTCACTTTGGGTCCCATTGTGTCCCATTGTGTCCCCTTGGGTCCCATTGTGTCCCATTGTGTCCCATTGTGTCCCATTGTGTCCCATTGTCTCCCATTGTGTCCCCTTGTGTCCCATTGTATCCCATTGTGTCCCATTGTGTCCCATTGTGTCCCATTGTCTCCCATTGTGTCCCGTTGTGTCCCATTGTATCCCATTGTGTCCCATTGTGTCCCATTGTGTCCCATTGTATCCCATTGTGTCCCGTTGTGTCCCATTGTATCCCATTGTATCCCATTGTCTCCCGTTGTGTCCCATTGTATCCCATTGTGTCCCATTGTATCCCATTGTATCCCATTGTATCCCATTGTCTCCCGTTGTGTCCCATTGTATCCCATTGTGTCCCATTGTATCCCATTGTGTCCCATTGTATCCCATTGTATCCCATTGTATCCCATTGTCTCCCGTTGTGTCCCATTGTATCCCATTGTGTCCCATTGTATCCCATTGTGTCCCATTGTGTCCCAGTGCGTCCCATTGTGTCACTTTGTGTCCCATTGTGTCCCGTTGTGTCCCACTGTGTCACTTTGTGTCCCATTGTGTCCCGTTGTGTCCCATTGTCTCCCATTGTGTCCCATTGTCTCCCATTGTGTCCCATTGTGTCCCGTTGTCTCCCATTGTGTCCCGTTGTGTCCCATTGTATCCCATTGTATCCCATTGTGTCACTTTGTATCCCATTGTGTCCCATTGTGTCCCATTGTGTCCCATTGTGTCCCATTGTGTCCCATTGTGTCCCGTTGTGTCCCATTGTGTCCCATTGTGTCCCATTGTGTCCCATTGTGTCCCATTGTGTCCCATTGTGTCCCGTTGTCTCCCGTTGTGTCCCATTGTGTCCCATTGGGTCCCGTTGTCTCCCGTTGTGTCCCATTGTGTCCCATTGGGTCCCGTTGTCTCCCCTTGGGTCCCGTTGTCTCCCGTTGTGTCCCATTGTGTCCCATTGTGTCCCATTGTGTCCCATTGTGTCCCATTGTGTCCCATTGTGTCACTTTGTGTCCCGTTGTGTCCCATTGTCTCCCATTGTGTCCCATTGTGTCCCATTGTCTCCCATTGTGTCCCGTTGTCTCCCATTGTGTCCCGTTGTGTCCCATTGTATCCCATTGTATCCCATTGTATCCCATTGTGTCACTTTGTATCCCATTGTGTCCCGTTGTGTCCCATTGTGTCCCGTTGGCTCCCGTTGGATCCCATTGTGTCCCATTGTGTCCCATTGTGTCCCATTGTGTCCCGTTGTGTCCCATTGTGTCCCATTGTGTCCCATTGTGTCCCATTGTGTCCCGTTGTGTCCCATTGTGTCCCATTGTGTCCCGTTGTCTCCCGTTGTGTCCCATTGTGTCCCATTGGGTCCCATTGGGTCCCGTTGTCTCCCCTTGGGTCCCGTTGTCTCCCGTTGTGTCCCATTGTGTCCCATTGTGTCCCATTGTGTCCCATTGTGTCCCATTGTGTCCCATTGTATCCCATTGTGTCCCACTGTGTCCCATTGTGTCCCATTGTGTCCCATTGTGTCCCATTGTGTCACTTTGTGTCCCGTTGTGTCCCATTGTGTCCCATTGGGTCCCATTGGGTCCCGTTGTGTCCCGTTGGGTCCCATTGTGTCACTTTGTGTCCCATTGTGTCACTTTGAGTCCCATTGTGTCACTTTGAGTCCCATTGTGTCTCCTTGTGCCACTTTGTGTCCCGTTGGCTCCCATTGTGTCCCATTGTGTCCCATTGTGTCCCATTATGTCCCCTTGTGTCACTTTGGGTCCTATTATGTCACTTTGTGTCCCATTGTGTCCCATTGTGTCCCATTGTGTCCCGTTGTGTCCCATTGTGTCCCATTGTGTCCCCTTGTGTCCCGTTGGCTCCCGTTGGATCCCCTGCATCCCTTTGCATCCCATTACACCCCCTCACATCTCCCCCTCCTTTTCCCCCCTCCCCCAGAGCTCTCTCCCCGCTGTGCGCCGAGGGCCGCACGCCGGACCTGGAGCGCTGCTGGCCGTCATCGGCAGGCGCGAGGCGCTCGTGGACGTGTCGGTGATGAGTTACCTGCCCGGCACCGAGTTCTCCCGGCCCCGGCGCTTCTGGCCGGCCGTGGACGAGCGGCTGCGGCGCGCGGCCGTGGGAGCGGGCGTGGCCGTGCGGCTCCTGGCCGGCTGCTGGGCCCACAGCAACCCCCTCATGTTCCCCTTCCTGAGGTCCCTCGCTGCCCTCGGAGGGGAGAGGTTCCACGTGCAGGTGGTGAGGGGGGATGGGGACAGGGGGGGATGGGCACAAGAGGATAAATGGACACAAAAGGGGGACAAACAAGCCCAAAAGGGGATATGGGGACACTGGGGGACATGGGGACATTGGGGAGTGATGAATGGACCCAAAGGGGACATGGGGACATTGGGAGACATGTGGGACACTGGGGAGACATGGGGGACATTGAGGGATGAATGGTACGCAAAGGGGGACATGGGGACACTGGGGGGACATGGGGACATTGGGAGACATGGGGACTGGGGAGGAATGGGCACAAAGGGAGGATGAATGGACACAAGGGACAAACAACCCCAAAAGGGGATATGGGGACATTGGGGGAGGGAATGACACAAAGGGGGATGAATGGACCCAAAAGGGGGACAAACGGACCCAAAGGGGTAATGGCCTTGGGGGGACATCAGATGGGGAGGAATGGACACAAAGATGAATTGGGACAAATGGACCCAAAGGGGACAAATGGGCCCAAAAGGGGGACAAA